TGTGTGATGGCCTCCTCACAGATATCCCTCTCTCATTCCTTCCAGCTCCGTGAGGAAATGAAGCACATGACTCCGCTCATGTATGAGTCATTGTCTTTGCTCCCCTCGTCGTCGTGCGTTTCCTCTTTTATTTCCAGCTCTCAGCCTCTTTTTAATATGAATTCCAGATGTTCCTCATTTGGACGTAACGTTTGTTTTAGTCGACCCATTTCTTTTCTATTGGGGGGGGTGTTTTGGGTCCACGCCCCGCACTGCGTTGTGTTTAGACTTTGGCCTCGCTGTAAAATAAGATTTATACTTTATTCATGTTATTCAAGCCTCTAAGAGGTGATTCATTATTTAGAGCTCCTGCCTCCCAAAGCCAGTTTGCTAAGTACATTTTTGGCTCGGAGATGGACTTGCACGGGTCGCGTCTCTTCTTTCTGATGCAGGCACGCTTCCTTTTTGCATTTGGAAGCATTGTGGTGGGTCGAGGCGGAAACGGCCCGTGGGCTGCCGGGTGAGACGGCTGCAGTGTTAATCAGGCGAACCCAAGCCGCAGAGCGCGCGGCGCAAAGTGTTCCCCCCGGGGACCGGGCAGTGGAGGGACGTTGGTTCCAGATGAAAGGAAGATCACGGGCGGGGGGGGGGGGGGGGGTTATAATCTAGCAATATGAAGGAGCCACCCCCCCCCCACACACTTTCAAACGCATAGTAAGTGCGCGATAAAGCTCCCTTTTATGATTTAAGACATTAGCAGAAAGGTGGGAACACGATGTTATGAGTACACACAAAATGAGTTTACAAACGGTTTCGGGGGGGGGGGGGGTGCAGGGGGGGGATTTCTGTTTATTTGGCTCCAAACAAAACCTTCTTCACTTAATGCGTCTTGTTGAACTGCAATTACTCGTCTCTGTGCTGCAGCACAGGGAGCATCGGGAGGAATGTGCATCAGGGCCCTGGACGCCATTTCATACAGACGGGGGCTTGGTGCGCGCGGACACCCCTGACCTATTTATGATTTAAGAGCTCCTTCTCTCTGCCCCCTTCTTTCATCCCCCGCTCGCGTGATCTGACTCGCCCCCGTCATCACGGCCTCCCGAGGCAGACAAAAGATTCGCTGGGTGGAAAGAAGCCGCGGGAGTCTGTCACCGCGGGCGACCCGATGAGGAGTCAAGATGAATAAAAGGCTTTCCTGTACATCATGTTTCTGACCGTGTATTCAAAAACCTGCTCTCTTCTCTTACAGAACAACGACCCTTTGACCCTCGGTTACCATGGCTACCCCTCTCACAGCCAGGTAACGACTCAAATCCATGTTTTATAATAATCCGTCTTCCCTTTTCCTCTGATATCTTTCTCCTATTCATAAAGCGTTATTTATGGCTCTCTGAACCACAAGGTGGGGGTGTAGATTATCATTTATCAGTCGTGTAGAAGAAGACGGGCCTTCACTCAGTCCCGCCCCCCCGTCGCCTCCACCACTTCTCTGTTCTCGACATCTGCAAAATTATTAATCATCTTTGAGCTTTTAAATCCAACTTATTTTTTCTGTTGAACATGAAGATTCTCCCACGTTTTGCTCCTCAAACAAAGCTCAACACTTCCTGAAGGAACCGTCTGCATTGTGTGTGTGTGTGTGTGTGTGTGATTGTGCGTCTGCAAGGCCACAATCTGTTCAGCCGTGTTTGTATCGCCCGTTGATTGTGTAATTAGACTGTTCAGTTTACGTGGTTAATCCTTAGATCATCCTGCGCTCATCCTCTCATGCTCTACCCATAATCCCCTCATCCGTCACTCTCCGCACCGCCCGGCAACCCCAGGCTTCTTATCTGCGCTTTATCTCTGTTAAACCTTCACTTTTGCGCCCTCATTTGTTTCAGTCTGAGTTTTTTTTTCTCTATTCATTTATTTCACCACAATTTGACGCAGCTCTGAAGCGTTTCCTTGCTAATGATGATGTTGGCACAATCGTCCCAAAGGGTAAAGCGTTGCCCCGCGCGAGCCATCTCTTGGTATCGTGCAAAGGAGTCCGTCCATGTGCTACCTGAGGGACTGTGGAGGTGTAAACCGGCCTCCGACCGGGGTTTTTGAGGCAGGGCACGGAGGGAGGAAACAATGCTGGGCAGCGGAGGCTCCCTCAACGCCGAGGTGCTAAGCTGTGGGCCGCAGTGTGAGAGCGACCAAAGGGCCCCGACAGCAGCAGCATGTGAGACCAAACTTGTTTGGGTTTTTTATAGCAGCGAGTCGCTCATTCTTTTTTATTAAAATGTAAATATTTGCATTCTATAATTTGATCTCCGCTGGAATTGCTTTGTTCCCCAGTAAATGATGCCTGCATCTGTCCAAAGCCTGCGCCGGAGACTAATACTGTCTGTGCGAATTGGTTCAGTATTACAATTATTCAGTGTTTGGAGGACAATGGGGCTTTTTTGGGGGGCGATCTTATTTCATTTGTGTTGAATAATGTGATTTGATGAATCCTTTCATTGTGTTCCGCTCCGGTGCTTTTCTGATGGAGTAGCTGCTCGAGGCATGTGTTCCTGTCCCCGGTGGTCGATACACGTGTCATTAAATGTGTCTGTCTGAGAAATATATCTGGCTCTTTGGCTGCTAAATGCTCCACTGCACCACCTCGCCCGCCAGAAGCTTCTCTGCGGTTCGGCGGTGGGGAGGCAGCGGACGGCCGTTCTCACTGAGAGCAGCTGTCTAATGCTGATGGGTTTAGTCGGAGGAAACCGGTGTTGGAAGTGGATGTAGTCATCATGACCAGTGGTTTTGAATCCTCCAGTTTGGCGCCATCTTGGATTACGGCGGTAGCCATCTTGGCATTTTGCAACCAGCGTATGGAAATGACCATATTAGGAGTGCGGAGGAGTGGCGCACAGACGGCGTATACTGCTGTTACCAACAGGGAGCCCTAACGCATAGTCCTCGTTCTGATCCATTTCACTCTCAATGGACCGTAATGTACCAAACGCACATCAAGCTGCATTGAAGAAAGACTTGGAGCTAGAGGTTGAATCTGTAATCTCATGTTTATAAGGTTTACTGTGGTAATAAATCAAGTGACAAGTAATAATTTACTTATTTTGTATTAATAAGACTCATTCCATGGCTTGTTTTTCTACCAGTCGCCCCCTGCTGGCCAGTAGCGAGAATGCACGTTGAAGACACGTCTGCGTTATCGTCCCACTTCAGAACCGGAGGTTGGCCGGTTATGGGTCCTTATGCATAATAGTCACTATTTATGAAGGATACCCCGAGCCCCTGTTAGTGCTGCTTAACGCGTTCAAACTTTGACGTGGCGGTACTCACGCTTACGCAGTACTGGAAGTGCTACGAGATGCAGTCCGAGTGCCTTTCGTAGCAAAGTGTGTCGGCCGCTTGTTCAAACGTGAGACAAACATGTAAATTGCCAGCACATTTATGTAACACGGCGCATCTCTGGAAGGGGCTTGAGAGGGAGAGGAGAGAGTACTCGCTCTCCTCTCCCTCTCCCAGTGGTGCCAGCAGCCCCAGTTAACTCACCTACATGGAGAAGGAGAACAGAGAGAGAGAGAGACCCACCGAACGAGGGAGGGAGGGAGGGAGGGACTGCGACATGAGAGGGAAGCAGAGGGGAGGGGAAAGTTTGCAGGTGTGACAGAGCCAGAGAGGTAGGAGGGGGGAGGCGTCAGGCTATCTGGGTGAGAAAGGAGGAGGAGGAGGAGAGACAGAAGAGATGAGCAGGCAAGGGCACAGCAGCAAAACAGAAGGCTGGGGTAGAGGGAAGGCAAGGAGCGAGTGGGAGAGGGAAAGAAAAGACTGAGTGGGAGAGAGAGAGAGAGAGAGGGTAAGGAAAAGCAAGCAAGCGAGCGAGCGACAGGGACAGAGGCCAGCATAAGAGGAGGAGGAGGAGGAGAGAGGGGGGGATTGGCATGGCAGACAGAGCGAGCGGGGGAAGAGAGAGGGAGATTTTGAATCCGTGAGACAGACCAGAGAGGCTGAGCTGGTGAGGGGACACAGGATCGCAGAGGGAGAGCGAGCGAGCGACGACGGTCTCCAGTTGTAGCACGGAATACGATGATGGGGCTGTACTATCCTGCCGTGTTGTCGGTGAGTGTTTCTCTCTATTTCCTTGTTTTGTCCTCCTCCTTTTTGAATACATATATATATATATTTTCTATGTCCTCCTCCGTGTGCGCGTCCGCCGCATCCCTTTTCCGCCCGCTGCTCTGCCTCCGCTGTGCACGGAGAGCGGCAGCCCTTTCACCGAGCATGAAATGTTAATTAACTGCTAACAGATCAGGACTCTTCCTGATACCCCCCCCCCACCCCCGCCCCCACCTTTGCTGTAGTGGTCCAGTCGGGGGCATTTCACAGAGTGCCGTTAGGACTCGCCGCCCCCGGCTGGCTACTATCGAGATAAACAGTGCGACCGGCGTAGTAGGCGTAGGATGACAGCAAAGATGCAGAGATGGTGTCGCCGAAACAATTACGATTCTCGGAATGCACGCGCGTTGATCTGTTGTCCCTCCCCACCGCCCCCCCCCCCTCTGCCCAGCAGCGCTAGAAGTGCATGCAATCTGAAATTCAAGCGCTTCTGCCTCTGCCAGCGACGCCGCGCTGCCATGTATTATGCATGCTCAGAAGATTCATCCAGTGCAGCGTGTTACTGTGCTCAGCTGGATGCAGCAGCGTGCTGCTGCTGCGGTAAAAGTCCTCTCGGAGTGGAAACAGTGAAGGAATGGAGAGGGGGGCAGGAGGGAGGGGGGGGCTTTCTTCTTTATTGCCTCTGCAGCTGTCTCTGTACGTCGCTCAAGCCGCGTGAGCAAAAAGGACAGGTTCTCCCCCCCAGAGCAGTTGTCTCTGTCCCTTTCTGCCTCTCTTATGCGTCTCTCCAACACCTCCTCACTGTGATTTCTGTGTCACACGTATCACACAGGCCGAAGCACACAGTGGGCCGCAAAGTTGGTGTCTTGCTCATATCATTACATTTCGTTTACTGTGAGTCAGCCCCTCTCTGTCTGTCTGTCTGTCTGTCTGTCTGTCTGTCTCTCTGTGTGTGTGTGTGTGTGTGTGTGTTTCTGCCTCTTTCTGCTCTACCTTGGATTCCTGCTCCCTTTACTGTTTGACCTCTTTTCTCCCTCCTCTTGCCTCCCCGGGGCCCTGGCAGCTGTTATCTCAATGTTTTCCCTCTAAGAGCCCCCTGGAAGAGAGGGATGGGCCGAGAAAGGAATGAGAGAATAGGAGCGAGAGAATAGCAAAATGTGTATATATATATTATTTTTTAAGGAGACGGGAGACCCCTCGGGGCGGTTTGCCGGGGATGCCCGTGGATCAGGGTGCTGAAATTATGCGGAGAAGGACACACGAGAGGAGATGGAGAGCCACATATCGGCTAAACTGGAGACAGCTAGTTTTCTCTGTGACGCAATTTTCTGTAGAGCTGACTTTGCAGTTGTGTGTGTGTGTGTGTGTGTGTGTGTGTGTGTGCGTGTGTGTGTGTGTGCGCTCGGTCTTCTCTCTGTGGTTATTTATGAGCTCTTTTAAAGTGTTGCTGCATGCTAATATTTTTAGCATGGCTGCAAGAGGAGTTGTAGTTTTAGTGCAAAAACTCAAATCATTTCTCAAGCCCCACCTAAGTGTGTGTGTGTGTGTGTGTGTGTGTGTGTGCGCCCTTAGGCGAGGGAGAGACTCCTACCTGCTGCAAAACTACACACACACACACACACACACACACACACACACACACACACACACACACACACACACACACACACAGGCTGCCACGCTTTCATAAATTGTAAGCGGGTCATGAGGTTTCACCCCCCTCCCCCACCCGACTCTCCTCCACCTTCCTCCCTCCACAAATCCTGTTATTGATTCTTTTGCAGGGTTAACAATGATGGTCGGTAAATGATCCCAATGAGCCGTGTTGCCGTGGCAACTTGCATGAGTCATTCATTTTGTACCGGATTGTTAAATGGTTCAAGGAGTGAGGGAAATGTCGACGGGAGAGCCATGTGAGGTGAAAAAAAAACACCAAACCTTCTGTGCTTCAAAAAAATCCAAAGTTAAAAGGCGAGGAGCCGCTGTTTTTCTTTCGCAGCCATTTGCATCTCTAATGGCTCTACAGAAACGGCGCTCGCTGCAAGGCGTCTGAGTGGAATTCTAAAGGACCTGCCTTCTTTAAATGGATCGGGTCGGACGGCGCGGTTGACAGCGACAACACCGCTCCGCGGCTCGCTTGTGTACATTCTCCCAACCAGACTAATTGCCACAGAGGCCCACTGGAGCTCCAAAACGAGACAAACC